TATGAATTTTCACTAGTTATTTTTCGTGTGAAATTTTTCAAATATTCGATCCTAATAAATCAACTAATCACATAATTTAAGTCACACATAAAGTACATCAATAATGCATGTTTAATTATGCTAGCTCATAATAAATTATCCTATTAGCACATAAAATTTCTAAACGTAAAGTCTACTTATGAAAAAAAATAATAAAAATATAAAACGAGTTATCCGAAAGGGCGGGGTGTTACAATCTCCCCCCCTTAAAGAAATTTCGTCCCCGAAATTTGTACCTTTCTTGATTAATTCCGGGTACCGACTCTCAATCTCATCCTCGAGTTCCCACGTCGCCTCGTCCGGGGAGTGGTTTTTCCAAAGAACCTTGATAAGGCGAATTTCTTTATTTCGGAGTTTCGTAACTTTTCGGTCTAGAATTTGGGTGGGTTCTTCAATAAAGGATAGGTTTGGAGATAAGTCTACGGGTTCGAGTTTGAGGACATGGTCGGGGCTAGGAAGGTATTTTCGGAGCATGGATACATGATAGACATTGTGTATTCGAGATAGATGTGGTGGTAGGGCAAGGCGATAGGCTTCGGTACCAATTCGATTGAGAATTTCGAAAGGTCCAATATATCGAGGGCTTAGCTTCCCTCGTTTTCCGAATCGCATAATTCCTTTGAGTGGAGCGACTTTGAGAAATACGTGGTCGCCAACATTGAATTCTAAGTCTCGTCTCCTTTTATTTGCGTATTTTTGTTGGCGATCTTGGGCCGACTTCATTTTCCCCCGGATGTTTTTGATTATGTCGACGGTGTGTTGGACTAGTTCAGGGCCCAATAATTTTCGCTCGCTGACTTCGTCCCAATGGATTGGAGATCGGCACTTTCTTCCGTATAATGCTTCGTATGGCGCCATTTCGATCAACGATTGGTAACTATTATTGTACGAGAATTCGATGAGCGGTAGTCGGCTTTCCCAATTGCCACCAAAATCCATTATGCATGCTCGGAGCATATCTTCGAGAGTTTTGATCGTTCTCTCGGATTGACCGTCGGTTTGGGGATGGTATGCCGTACTAAAGGCTAGACGGGTCCCCATTGCTTCGTGCAAGATCTTCCAAAATTTTGAAGTGAATCGGGGGTCTCGATCGGAAATGATTGATATAGGAATCCCGTGGAGTCGAACAATTTCTCGGATGTAAAGTTCGGCTAGCTTTTCGAGACTAAAGGTAGTCTTGACCGGTAGAAAGTGAGCGGATTTGGTTAGCCGATCAACTATCACCCATATTGAGTCGGAATCTTTTTGAGTTTTCGGAAATCCTTGAACGGAATCCATGGTTACTCTTTCCCACTTCCATTCGGGTATGAGGTTGGGTTGAAGAAGTCCGCCGGGCCGTTGGTGTTCCGTCTTGACTTGTTGACAAACTAGGCATTCGGATACGAATTTGGCTATGTATTTCTTCATTCCGGGCCACCAATATAATTTCTTCAAGTCTTGGTACATTTTTGTTTCACCCGGGTGGCAAGAGTACGGGGTTTTGTGAGCTTCGCCGAGAATTAATTATTTTATCTCTTTGTTTGCCGGAACGCAAGTTCTTCCTTGGAATTTTAAGACTTCGCCATCGGAGATCGAGAAATTAGGATTTCGACCGGTTGATAAGCTTTCTCGGATTTTTAGAAGTTGATCATCGAGGAGTTGGGCGGATTTTATAGTCGACTTGAGCGGCGGTTCAATGATTAAAGCGCACATGGACTTCCGGCTAAGAGCATCGGCCACGACATTAGCTTTACTGGGGTGCTAAAGTATTTCGCAATCGTAATCTTTGACCAATTCGAGCCATCGTCTTTGTCTCATGTTAAGTTCCTTTTGGGTGAAGAAGTACTTTAGGCTTTTGTGGTCGGTGAAGATCGAACACTTCTCTCCGTAGAGATAGTGCCTCCAAATTTTGAGGGCGAAAACTACGGCGGCAAGTTCCAAGTCGTGCGTCGGGTAATTCTTCTCGTAATCTTTCAATTGACGAGATGCATAGGCAATTACATTCCCATTTTGCATCAAGACGGCTCCAAGTCCATGCTTGGAAGCATCGCTATAGACTACGTAGTTTCCGGTTTTGTCGGGTAAGGCGAGAATGGGGGCGGAAGTTAATCGATTCTTGAGCTCTTGGAAGCTAGAATCACATTCGGCGGTCCATTGATACTTGGTTTCCTTTCGGGTCAATCGAGAGAGTGGAGAAGCGATTTTGGAGAAGTTCGGAACGAACCGTCGATAGTAACCCGCGAGACCGAGGAAGCTTCGGATTTCTCCAACATTTTGGGGAGTCGGCCAGTTGCAAACGGCTTCAATCTTGCTTGGATCAACCGATATTCCTTCTTTTGATATCACGTGCCCAAGGAAGTGGACTTGGCGTAACCAAAATTCACATTTGGAGAATTTTGCGTAAAGTTGGTTTTCTCGGAGGGTTTGGAGCACGATTCTCAAATGTTCTTCGTGTTCTTCATCATTTCGGGAGTAGATTAAGATGTCGTCGATGAAGACGATTACAAATTGGTCGAGGTACTTCCGGAAGATTCGGTTCATTAGATCCATGAAAGCGGCTGGGGCGTTGGTTAGACCGAACGGCATTACTACAAACTCGTAATGGCCGTAACGAGTTCGGAAAGCGGATTTTGGGATGTCTTCTTTCTTGATTTTCAATTGGTGATAGCCGGAACGGAGATCGATCTTTGAGTACACCGTGGAGCCTTGGAGTTGGTCGAAAAGGTCGTCGATTCTCGGTAGAGGATATTTATTCTTGATCGTGACTTTGTTAAGCTCTCGGTAGTCGATACATAGGCAGAGGGTTCCGTCTTTCTTTTTGACGAAGAGGACGGGAGCGCCCCAAGGAGAGAAGCTAGGGCGAACGAACTTCTTATCAATAAGCTCTTGAATTTGTTCTTTGAGTTCTTTAAGTTCTAACGGGGCCATGCGGTAGGGTGCTTTGGAAATAGGAGTTGCACCGGGAATTAGGTTGATCTCAAATTCAATTTCACGATCGGGTGGAAGACCGGGGAGATCTTCGGGAAAGACATCGGGAAAGTCACAAACGATTGGTACTTGGGATGGCTCGGGTTTATTTTCATTGGAGATTTCGACTATGTCGACCAAATGACAACAATGCCCCTTTCGGGCGAGCTTAAGTGTTTTGACGGCGGAGAGGATTTGGAGTGAAGGTGAGTAAGATCCTTGGAATTCCACTGTTTGGCCGTGGGGTAAAGAAAGATAGACGGTTTTGGTCGCACAATTAATTTGGGCTTTAAATTTGGACAACCAATCCATTCCGAGAATTACTTCGAAATGGTCTATAGGGAGAATTATGAGGTCGGAATTGAGTGGCTTCTTTTGGATTTGGATTGGGCAATCTTTGAAAAAGAGGTCGGATTCTAAGTCATTGTCGGACGGTAAGCGAATTGTGAATAATTCACTAGATGTGGTGGGAGTTATTGGGAATTTGGCGGCGAGGGTACTCGAGATGAATGAGTGAGTCGATCCGGAATCAACTAGAGCATAAACGAGATTGTTACAAACGTAAATTGTACCTGCTATCATCGAAGGGTCGGCTTCGGCTTCATCTTTGGTCATTGCGAACACTCGACCGGGAGCTCGGTTTTGCGGTGGGGGTTGTGGGCAATCCCTTATCAAGTGCCCTGGTTTTCCGCAGCGATAACAACTGTTGGTTCCTTGAACGCAGGGTCCAAAGTGAGGTTTCCGACATTTTGGGCAAATCGGTCGGGCTGGTGGTGTAGCATGGTTTTGAATAATTGGACGTTTTCCCTTGTTTTGGCCCGGTCCGGGGTGGGGCCTCTTCCATTTGTGAGTATTGGCGGGTGGAACGGATCGAGATTGACGGATCTCTTGCTCGGCTTGGTCTGCTTCGAGTGCTTTGTCGACTATTTTCCGAAACGTCGTTACGGAAGACATGCGGACATCTCGTTGAATCACCGGGTTGAGGCCTCTAAGGAAATGGTTGGCCTTTTCGTCGGCGTCTCGGGATATGAATGGGGCGTAGAGACATCCTTGTTCGAATCGCCTTACGTACTCGGCTACGGACAAGTTGCCTTGCTTTAGCTCGAGAAATTCCTTTAGCTTCTGAGCTCGGAGGTTTTTGGAAAAGTACTTTTCGAAGAACAAGATTTTGAAAGCGCTCCAGGTAGTGTTCGTTAGGTCGATTCCTTCTTTGGTACCTTCCCACCAATGACGGGCTTCGTTCTTCAATAGAAAAAGAGAACAATGGATTCGATCTCGGTCGGACATTTCCATGTAGTCGAAAATGACTTCTAGGGATTTGATCCATTCTTCGGCTATGGTTGGATCGGGGCCTCCATGGGATTCGGCGGGGTGCATTCTTAGAAACCTTTCGTAAATGGCTTGGGGTGCGGTATTTTGAGTTGGTGGGGGTGGAGGGTTCTGGTTTTGGAGGTTAACAAGGCGTTGGATTTGTTCATTTTGTTCTCGGACGAGGGCGGTGAGGTCTTGTATGGTGCGAGATTGATCGTTCGGACCGTTAGCGGCGTTTTGAGCTCGAGTTTGTGCTCCCGACATTTTAGCACTTTAAACAAATAAACACTTCTCATTAGTTAAGAAATGTGCACACATAAACACATACATGCCCGAGTTCTTAGTTGATGTCGTCATTCGAGGATTTCGGAGATCTTTAAGTTCATATGAAGATTTTCCGGGGATCGTTGCTATGATACCACGTATGTGTGACACCCATTTTCTAGTTATACTTAATTAGTATTTTAGAATATGATAGCGGAAGACTTTGAAATATATAAATCGGGAATAGAAAATTCCGACAAAATTTTTCTTTTAGAATCAGAGTAAGAGTGTCCACATATTACCAAACAACATTCACTTAATAAATTTCACAAACTATGCATGCATGACTAGAGATTAAGTTCCATTTTAGCAAAGTGAGAGAATTTTGGACAGTTTCGATCTATCAATCAAATAAATTAATAACTCTCTAACCGCTCCTGCAAAACACTTGAAATTTTTACCACATGCTCTACTAAGGGCCTAGATAACCTAGTAAAAACAGTTTTTAAATACCTTGAGCCATTTGAAAGGAATAATTAAAATAGTACAACTGTACAGTTTAAAATCTAAAGCAGGGGAGTGACCTTTGAAAAATCTTTTTAAATTCCCTACTGTTTCAAAAATCATCAAATTCTATACTACATTACATTAGTGAGTTAGGATTCCATTACAAGTGGAATAAATCCTTTTGAGTGAGAAAAACTTTGTATTTTATTGTAAATACTACAACGACTCTGTTTCAGAGCAGTGTTGGGAAACAATTCATAATTAATTCATGGGTTATCCAAATAATGCAAACGAACTATCAAAATGAACCTAACAGAGAGCCCTATAATTCTGTAAAATTTCATGCAATAATGTATGGAAGAGATAATTAACACGAATTATCAAACTACAAGACATAACATAACACAGAACTAGCCTACGGACATTTTATAAGGTTTTTATGAAAACTTGCCCTAAGGTTACACAAGTTTTTGAGGAAATACCATAACATATATCAAAAGAGGTACTTTTACTCCAAAGTAACATTATATATTATGCTTCAATAGTAAGTTCCTCCAATAGGCGGGAGAGAACGATAATAAACACATAGAACGGTGTCGAATATCCTTAATAGCAAATTATACAAATAAAACCACATTAGTATATTAAGAGCACCCAAAATCCACCATGCCTCCATATGAACTCTTCTCCCGATCCACGAACTCAACTTCAACCACGATCCTCGGGCTCGAAATCGGGTAATCCAACAAGCAATTCAACACCTATATGAGTCTTTGAGACTCAATGAGAATTCCATAGAATATCAAATACACTTAGACAAGGAAATATATAGTCATACATATACAAATATACATGTACCTCAATCACCATTTCTTTAAGAAAATTTACCGATTTACCTTTACCTTCTCGGTTTACCTCTTAGAACTTTTCGATTTACCTCTTAAACCTTCCTTTCATCATTTCATAAGGAATAAGAGGAGATCCCTCACAAGGGAGTCGTCATTCTTTTGCACATACATTCATTCAAGTGCTCATACAACGTGTAAGAAAAATCATTTTCTTTAGTCGGATATCCTTTGGAAAATCAAGTAAAACCATAGACAATAAGCCTTCATTTATTTGGAACCCGTTTCATAAGTGGAATCAAACCACACACTCTTCATCTCATTTTTGGGGTACCGGTCCCTCATACCCCGTGCTTATTCGATCTATGTTTTACAAGACTTTCCAATTTTAAAAACGTGCAAGTGAGGTTAGTACATACTTTCATTCAATTAAGCAACTGGATTAGTTGTGTGAGAAAAACATTTTTGTTCGGATATCCTTTGAAAAATCAAGTAAAACCATAGACAATAAGCCTTCATTTATTTGGAACCCGTTTCATAAGTGGAATCAAACCACACACTCTTCATCTCATTTTTGGGGTACCGGTCCCTCATACCCCGTGCTTATTCGATCTATGTTTTACAAGATTTTCCAACTTTAAAAACGTGCAAGTGAAGTTAGTATATATTCTTCATTTCACATATTCAAAGTTAGCTTTCACATAAGCACACATATTTCCACATATTTCACAAAAGGCACATAGTTTAGTCACAAAATCACAAAAGCAAGTAAGACATATAACAACTCAAGCAAAGAACATAGATCACATATTTACACATAAAGCAAAACAATTCAAAGCATTCGGTTATTTATAATTACTATCTCCAAGTTTCATTAATTAAAGTTCAAGCCCTCTTTCTCAAGAGACTTGAAGTTTTCTCTCAAGTAACACAAAATTTCATTTATTACATTTTCTTTCCAAAATATTCAAACCACCATCAACAATTCAATCGCATTCAATTCCATTTTTAATTAATCTTGTTCTCGGTTTTTATCTTCGTATATTATCTTATTACTCATAGATCATAAACCATGGATCATAAGCTTCCTCGACCCGAAGGGAGTACACTTACAACCACGCAGGTCGATATATATACACATAGAAACATATACTTATATATAGCACATATAGATTATAAATAAACCATGGATCAAGTACTTTCTTCGACCACGCAGGTTTACGAAAACCATGGATCGAAGTTTCCTTAAGATCACGCAGGTCTAGTATATATATATTTACATATACATAAATAAAAATTAAATTATCATATTATTCTTAGTTCTTCAAGATTATTTCAATTAAGGCTTAGATTATTACATGCATGGATCATCTAACAATAAACAAGCAAAGTAATATAACTTCCCAAATTTTCGGCCATTAAGAACAAAGAAGGAGAAAGAAGAAATAATATTGGTGAAGAATCACTTGTAGCAAGAATATGAAATTCTCACCTAGTTTCTCTTGAGAATATGAAGGAATTGGTGGATTGAATAACCCACTACAAGAACCTTGAAGAAATTATAAAGAAATTAGAAGAAAACATTAGGGAATTTTCGAAATTGAAAAGGAAGAAGAAAATTGAGAGCTTTCTTACACTTCTAGTTGAAGAAACTTCTTTTTGGAAATGATGAAAGATTTTGAGCTTCCTACACTAATAATTTCGAAATGGAGGAGAAGAAGAGAGATGATGTTTTCTTAAGAGCTTTAAGATATGGTGGAGAAGACGAGAATTCATTTGGGTGTTGGGTTCTATTTATAGAGTTTTGCAAGCATTTGGGGGTGTTCTTGGAATTTCCTCTTTAGGTGGGTTGGATTGGAGATGGTTCCATGGCTTGAGCTTGAGTAAAAATGGAGTCTTGGTGAGGGGATGGTGGTGATGGCCGAATTTAGGGAGAGAGGAAGAAGAAAGAGAATGGGTTTCAAATGCTTAGGTGGAAAGAGAGAGAAAGTGGGTCTTGAATTAAAAGGTAAAGTGAAGTACCATTCTCAATGAAGAAGGTACAAGCCACTTAAGCCTTCAATTCTCCCAATTAATGAGTCTTTCTACATTAAAGAATTGTACACATGGAAAATAAAATCCATGTGTGTCTCCACATTGCCGAAAATTATAAGAAGAGTGGGGAAAATTATATTTCTAAGTTTATTCACTCATTTAATTATCTAATATGCATGAATTTATTCTTTTTCTAAAAAAATAGTGTATGCATAAATATATTCCAACTATTCCAAATTAAATTCTAGAACGCAATAATCTAATTAAAATATGAAATTTTCAACTAGTTATTTTTCGTGTGAAATTTTTCAAATATTCGATCCTAATAAATCAACTAATCACATAATTTAAGTCACACATAAAGTACATCAATAATGCATGTTTAATTATGCTAGCTCATAATAAATTATCCTATTAGCACATAAAATTTCTAAACGTAAAGTCTACTTATGAAAAAAAATAATAAAAATATAAAACGAGTTATCCGAAAGGGCGGGGTGTTACAATCTCCCCCCCTTAAAGAAATTTCGTCCCCGAAATTTGTACCTTTCTTGATTAATTCCGGGTACCGACTCTCAATCTCATCCTCGAGTTCCCACGTCGCCTCGTCCGGGGAGTGGTTTTTCCAAAGAACCTTGATAAGGCGAATTTCTTTATTTCGGAGTTTCGTAACTTTTCGGTCTAGAATTTGGGTGGGTTCTTCAATAAAGGATAGGTTTGGAGATAAGTCTACGGGTTCGAGTTTGAGGACATGGTCGGGGCTAGGAAGGTATTTTCGGAGCATGGATACATGATAGACATTGTGTATTCGAGATAGATGTGGTGGTAGGGCAAGGCGATAGGCTTCGGTACCAATTCGATTGAGAATTTCGAAAGGTCCAATATATCGAGGGCTTAGCTTCCCTCGTTTTCCGAATCGCATAATTCCTTTGAGTGGAGCGACTTTGAGAAATACGTGGTCGCCAACATTGAATTCTAAGTCTCGTCTCCTTTTATTTGCGTATTTTTGTTGGCGATCTTGGGCCGACTTCATTTTCCCCCGGATGTTTTTGATTATGTCGACGGTGTGTTGGACTAGTTCAGGGCCCAATAATTTTCGCTCGCTGACTTCGTCCCAATGGATTGGAGATCGGCACTTTCTTCCGTATAATGCTTCGTATGGCGCCATTTCGATCAACGATTGGTAACTATTATTGTACGAGAATTCGATGAGCGGTAGTCGGCTTTCCCAATTGCCACCAAAATCCATTATGCATGCTCGGAGCATATCTTCGAGAGTTTTGATCGTTCTCTCGGATTGACCGTCGGTTTGGGGATGGTATGCCGTACTAAAGGCTAGACGGGTCCCCATTGCTTCGTGCAAGATCTTCCAAAATTTTGAAGTGAATCGGGGGTCTCGATCGGAAATGATTGATATAGGAATCCCGTGGAGTCGAACAATTTCTCGGATGTAAAGTTCGGCTAGCTTTTCGAGACTAAAGGTAGTCTTGACCGGTAGAAAGTGAGCGGATTTGGTTAGCCGATCAACTATCACCCATATTGAGTCGGAATCTTTTTGAGTTTTCGGAAATCCTTGAACGGAATCCATGGTTACTCTTTCCCACTTCCATTCGG